AAACTACTTTTCTCATATTATAGTCAGATTTACTGGCTTGTCACTTTGTTTAATAAGCAGGAGAATAATTTTTTTAATCAATTTATATTGAACAAAATAAGAAAGTAAAATTAATATTATAAATTAAATTATTCAATTGTCCTTCAATAGAAAAAAGTAAATAACATGTTTGTAAGGGCGAAAATGTAGAAGAGGATAAGTTCTCTTCAAATTTTCTCTCATTTGCAATAATTAAAAAAGCTTAAATATATTTTTAATCTCTCAAATTTAAGATAAATTTATTTTTATTTTTTAAAATTTAAAAATATGTTTTTAGTTTTTCTATTTTTTTTTAAATTATTTAGTCTCTCATATTATCAATAATATATATAAAAATATTAAATTAAGACAATAATATAACATTAACTGGGTTTCATGTGATACTTTCATTTACAAGAACACTAATAAGTAGATTTTATGTGACATGATTTGACAGAATTTCTAACAAAATTTGAGTATAAAGATTAAAACAAAATTTTTAAAAATTATAAGGACTAAAAAGATAAATTTTTAATTTCAATAACTAAAAATAAATTTATCTTACATTTAAGATATTAAAAACGTATTTAAATTACTAAAAAATATGTAAGCTCTCTAAATTTTTGGCACACTTCTACTACACAAACACACTAACTTCCTTTCACTTTCATCTTCTCTCCACTCTCCCTCCATCTATCTTCACTACACTAAACAAGAGTCAATGGAGTCTATCTTAGTTGATTTTTTTGGTAAAGAAAAACTATAGAGAGGGAACTTCATAATCTTGGGAATTAAAGCAACATTAGTAACCTCCCTCTTTAAGAACATGTTTTTACATGAGACTTTTGGATGTTCACATGATACAATACTCATGTACTCAACTCAAACAATCTAGATAAGGTATTTCTAGTGTTCGAATAAAACTCAATCCAATTAAACATGATATTTTTTGGGATGCATATAAAATTGTAGTGTTGAAAATCCAAATTGGAGAATAGGTTTGATGAAACTCAACCCAAATTGATTCATAAACATCTTAATGAATTGAGATAAGAACTTCCTTGTGAAGTATCTTTGTATACACTTGAGAAATCCAAAACCCTAAATTAGTGAAACCAATTTCTTTTTAAAAATTAAAGTTAATAATCATCACTGTCATATATAGAAAGAATAAAATATAAATGTTAAAAACAATCATTAATAAATTTAATATATAAAATCAAGAATACAAAATATAATATTTTTAAGTATATAGTAATAATTTAATTAAAATAAGAAGTGCATCTGTTCACATTCATCGTAAACTAAGCTCCCCACTTTTATATATTGGACCTAACACACCTCTTCTACTAGCCATACCCATTTGAATTTTAATTCAATTGATTGAAAAATGTATATAAATAATGTAAATATTTTAATATAAGTTTAATTTCTATGAAAAAAGATTAATTTAATATGAAAAAACTTTTCACCTGCAATTGAAAGAATTGTTGCATAAAAAAGGAGGAGGGGCGAGTTGGGTTAGCTAGGGTTGAATTTGGTCTGGATGCCAGATCTGACCAGTTGGTGTCTTGGTGATTTTCAAGTTCCCAAAAGACATTATATATTTTATTATTTTTCAAAGGATCAAAAGGGCACTACAAGTGAAGGAAATGCGTTTTAACGTTGGTCGGAAAAAAAGAAAGCTTTTAATAATGCAAGGCATGTTCTATGCCATGACTTTGCCATTCGATTTGTCATTCATTCGGGTCTTTTTGGCCGTTTGATTTCATAAAGTTTTCAGAAAAATAAAAATAAAAGTGTATGGCAATAGGTTTTTGAGTTTAAAAAACAAAATCTTCAGAATTTTCTCTTATAATTTATAAAGAAAGAAAGAGTAATTGCTCCATCGTATTCTCGGTTCATATCTCAAGCTGACCTTAATCTTAGGTATATGGGTTGGACCAAATTCCTTGCAATGATTAATCAGAAATAAGGAAAATTACAAGGCACCAACCAAATTAGTCAAATCCATGAGATACCCACTATGTATCATGGACACACTGTTTGTCATATTATCTTCTTACATTTCAATTTTACCATGGCAAGAAAACATTACTTAATTTGGAGAATAAAATTTTAAAAGTTTAAAATTTCGGTTCAATTTCATGGTCTGCATATGACCTTTTCCAATTTTTCGTCACTGACTCTTCTATAATACTTCAGAGAACAAAGTAAATAATTGTAATTTTTGAAAAACATTTATATATATATATAGTAAAAATATAATGTATTTTTTTTATCCTTATATAATGTATTCAACTATTTAATAATATTTTTTTATTAACTATTGAAATTATATTTTATTTCATTTTAGAGGTATAAATTATTGTTTTCAAGAACATCAATCAAATAATATAATAATATTTCAAGTTAATTAGTAGTTTCATTTTTTTATTCATTAAAATTCAACTCAATACTAAAAGTTTATAATAATTTAGACATCATTTTCAACTAAGTTAAACTCTATTAATAGATTATTTTGATTCAAAAGAAATATTTTTTATTGATTAAAATTTATTAAAATCATAAATTTATGAGTTTTACATATCATTTAATAAATCTTTTTTTATTAAGTGATATAATTTACTAATTTTTTTTATATTTTTAATCAATAGAAAAACATTAGTAAAAGAGTGTTAACGACTTTATCACTATATTCCTCTTTAATTATTTGAATATAATATCTACTACCGAAATTTTTTAGTCTATATTGCACATTGTAAATATTTAGTTTATATTATAAGATATTTAACAAATAAATATTACTGATAGTACAAACTATACTAAAAATTAAAATTTATAAAATAATATTTTATATAAATTATAATTTAAATTTACAAAAATAACTTTAATTGTAATATAAAATAATTTTAAATTATTGACAATTTTAAAATAAAATTATTAAAATTTAATTTTTAAATGGAAATAAAAGAAAGTAAATTAAAGTTGGTAGACACTTGAGAAAATTGACTGTACAAATAGAGAAAAAATAAAGGTAAATTGATTCCTTACGAGATAAATTTTATGATTAGTCATATGAGTAATATATGAAACATACATTCAAGTGAGAGAATAGAAAGAATATCGAGACTGTTTAATTGATAAAATAAAAAGAGTGAAAGTTTAGTATTTTACCATTTAAATCGTATACTATATAATACTAGAGTAAATTTTGACTCAAATGAAATTTAAGTATTTAACTAATTTCTGTAATTTGGTTAACTTTTTTTTTCTTCTAAAACCTTTTAATTTATTTTTATAACAAAATAAAACGATCTAATAGTTAATTGAATCGTGATCGATCTTAAACATGAAATTACATATTATTGTTATTAAAAATTAAGATATTACTATGTCATGTTACAATCAATATAAATATATAATAAATGTATTAAAGATATAAACTATTTTGATAATAAGAGCAAAAAATGGAACAGCAATGATGTTGATAACAAAACGTTCCAACAACGACAGTACAAAAATACATGTCTAAACATTATTGGTTGAATATTAAATTTTAAAAAATAGTCCTTTTATGAAAACCAAAGGCAGATGGGGTTATAACAATTCTAGTGTGTGCTGTAAAAAAAACAATCATAGTACGTGTGGATACTACCTTAAACAAATACATTTTTGTTTTATCAATTTAATTAATTTTTATTTATTAATAGTTAAAAAAATCAACTCACACATGTATACCGCCATTGTTCAGTCTGTGTAAAGGTTGTATAGATTTGTTTTTTTTTTTATTTACTAAAATGCAAGCAAAGAGTAATTTTTTTTATTTATCAAAATTACAATGATAATAATAAATTTAAATTTAAATTTACATATATATTATTTTGACTTGACTAACAAAAAAGATTAAAAAAAAGTTACTTATTGATTTGATGTTTAAAATGTGTTTTTTTTTATAAAACAAAAATGTCACTAATCGTTCGCAAGTAAAGATTCTATTATCATCCATTATAGTCTTCCGTTTGAACGAAGTCTAACCTTTGCAAGCTAATGCAATCGACATTTTGTTAGTCAAATTATAGTTTTTTTTTTCTTCCATGTATTCTTTTTACTCTTTCTTTTTCATTTCTGTGCCCAAAAAGAAAAAAAAAACTTGATTTTTATATATTTCTATTTATCCACACTTGGACATAGAATCGCACCCATCTTATCCCTGAAATGGACCATCCTATAAAAGAGTTTCCTTTACTCGTAATTATAAAATATATAAAAGAAAAAAAAAACATTTCTAAGACTATGTCACAGCCTCACAGGCTTTTGCTTTGAGTGATAGCCTGCGAGATTCATGTGGCTGTCTCACAATCACAAGCCCCCATAGTCATCGTTGGATTTTAACTAGATTACTTAAAACTTAATGTTTTGTAGTTGGATATTTGATTTGCATATCAACAGTGGTAGGACCCTTCCCAATGCCATCAACCTTCCTCATCTAATCCAACGGCCATAATTGGGTTTCTCACACAAATAATCACATAGGCAAGTTTATTCTTTTGAAACAAAAACCACATTAAATACTTATCAACATCTTGTCATCACACACGGGAGAATATAAAATTGTGAATTAGCATTCACATCTTATAAAAAAAAACTATATATTATAGCAGCAGGAACAAAAAGACCAAAAACATCTCCTTGTTTCTTTCTCCTTTTTTTTGTGGGTTTCCTTTTTTTTTTTTTTTTTTAAACTAGTTATTAGTATTAAATCACAACTATTTGAGAAAAAAATGGATGGCGAAGATGGGATACTTTTAGATTTTATTATTTGTTAAGGTATTGAAAATTGATGATTAGCAAAGAAGAAAAGTCCATATTCAACAGGATATGTGCAATAATATTCCCCTACCCCTCTGTTTCCTCTATAATAAGATGAGCTCATATTTTTGAATTTTAATTTAACAAAAAGCAAAACTGAAAGTTTTCAAATAACATCAACGAAAGAGAAAAAAGCATTAAAAAAAAGCTGAAACATTTACTTCTTATACAATACAAGAGGTCACATACATAGGCCTTCTCTCTCTATCTCTCAACATTCTACCTTCTTTTCTTTACCTCTTTTCACAACCATTTCTGAGATTCCTCCAATGGTCTTCTCCCTTCCAATGAATTGTACAGATTCCCAGCTACAATACACACATCAATCCCTTCAATTCTAGTTGCTCTGGGATTTTTTTGTGATTTTTTTAAGGACTGTTAAAGACAAACCTTTCTGGGTTTATTGGTTTCTGCTTTAATTTTTTCTTCTTCCGCAGACTACCATTCTGGGTTTGCTCATAAAACAAAGACTTTCAAGATATCTGTTGTATTTTCAAAAGAAAAAAAAATCCATTTTTATTTTTTTTTTGTCAAAAGAATATTATTTTCCTCTTATTTTTCTGCAAATTTTATTTGTATTTCTTTTTATTAATTTGCGGAAAAAGTTTGAGACATGGGCAAACAAGGACCTTGCTATCACTGTGGAGTTACAAGTGAGTTGTTGTTTCTCCAAAATATATTTTTCTTTCAAGTTATTGACTTTTTTCTGGGGCAATTATTTGCAAATTGAGATGTGTTTAAGTGAGAGTTGCTGGTCAATATAGACTATTCTTTATTTATATGAATTCAAAAAATACAACTAGTGTTGATGCCCAGAGCATTTGTAATTGAAAGTTGTGAAAAATTATATTGATTTCCCATTTATATGTGTTTTTGTTCCCTGTTGTTGGCTTTTGTTTCCGTATCTATGTTCCAAATCTGAGGCAATGTAACTAGTGCAAAATTGAGTTAGTTCATTGAATATGAGAACTCTTGCATTGATAGGAATAACACCTACTACGGTTAAGGTCTTTATCAAAGAGTCAACAACTTAGACTTCATGTCTTACTAATTGGATGGAAATAAGATAAACGAATTGTGCATTTATGAAATGCCAAAAGTTAATTTGTTACTGTCTTTTTAAAGGATTTTACAAAGTTGTTTTCATTTCCTCTACAAAGCAAATCTGATTGGAACTACATTGCATTCATCCCTCATTCATGTCTTACTATTTCCTTGCTTTCTGGCTGATGAAAATTCAATACTTTGCTTCTTCATTATTATATTTTTAACCTCTATCAATTTGAAACTATTAATTTTGTTCCTAAATACTTATTAGTTATCACCTTCATAGAACTAATCCTGCAACTTAAGACATGAAGTTTTTCATGTCTTTGCTTATAATTTCAAAGCACTTTCCAAAATGTTGAAGTCATTGCACTGGTTTTCTGTTCAGTATTCTAGCAATGTCTTCTGAATAAACTACAATGTTGTAGTCCCTAAAAGAAGGGAATATTTCATTTAGACTGTCTTAGCTTTGATGTCTCGAGTGAGACTTTGTAGATACTGTCAATCATTTCAGCTCAAATGCTATTGTTGTCTTCCCTGAGTCTACAAGTGTTCTTAATTTGAGGCTCACCACTAATGCTTGATTGCTTGAGGTTTCTTAGTCAATATTGTTTTCCTTGCAAAAGGGTATTGATATGTCTTAATCTTAAATATTTAAAACCAGCTGGCTAATAAAAGTAAATTACTAAACATTTCTATAAGGAATTGATAGTTCCTTATTCTAGTGAATACAGATAATGCTGTCTAAACCTAAATTTGTTTGTTGAGTTCAGCTTTCTAGTATATGAATGATACCAGCTGCTGCAAAATCCAAGAGGTTAAGCTATATGTTTCCCAGCATCAAACTTGACATGTATTTTTTATTATGCCTCTTGAATTGGATTATCAAGAAAATATGAATGTGGTTGTTAGTTGTCTATCCAATCCAAGTTACATCTTTATTCTCATTACAAGGGCTCTAAATGTTTGAAGATTTCTGATAATTGAGCATTGCAACAGGCACACCACTTTGGCGCAATGGACCACCTGAAAAACCAGTACTATGCAATGCATGTGGATCTCGATGGAGGACAAAGGGAACTCTTGCTAATTATACCCCTTTACATGCTCGAGCAGAAACTGATGTTTGTGAGGATCAAAGGGTTTCCAGGGTAAAGAATATATTGTTAAATAAGAAGAAAGAATTGCCTTTGCTCAAACGAAAGCGGAACCATGATAATGTAATATCTAGAGCACCTGATTACAACCAGGGATTCCAAAAGGTTGTAGATGAAGACACAAGCAATCGATCAAGTTCAGGATCAGCTATCTCTAACTCAGAGAGCTGTGTGCAAATTGGTCATGGTGGCACAGATGCTAGTGATATGACAGGTTGGATAAGATTTTTCTGCACAACTGATTTCAGCAGTATTCATCATTTTGAAACAAGTATTGATTTTATTGCCAGTCCAGATTTATGTTGGCACAATCAAGAAGTGGATAATGAAATGAGAGAAAGTGAAAAGAAATATATTGTGGAATAGCAGCACAACTTTGTTGTCATTGGTTATTTGGTTTTCCTAAAAACAAACAAGTGGATTCTGTTTCTAATAATGTATGGGTGTGCTTTTTGTTGACAAAGAATTGAGGAAGTGAATCAAATTTTTCTCTAGCACAAAGCTCAAATTATATCTGGCAACATTTTTAATGCCGAGTTATATAATTAGATATGGACTATCTATTTTTAATTTAGTGTATAGCCAATAGTGATACACATCACATATAATACTTTCCCCCGAATAATAGAATGTCAACTCTTACACATATGCTTCAGCTATCTATGTCATTAAGACTTAGATCATGAACTTCTATTTGTGTGTTATTATGCAAAAAATATTATCTCCTGCATATAAAACAGGTACCTCTTTATCTTTGTCTTTTATAAAGAGACATAATTCTAATATAGATAGTTTGTTTAATTTAGGTCCTGTTCAGTCAGTGGTCTGGGATGCCACGGTGCCTTCAAAAAAGAGGACATGTGTTGGTCGTCCAAAGCCTTCTTCTGTTGAGAAGCTAACAAAAGATTTATGCACTATTCTTCATGAACAACAATCTTATTTTTCTGCATCTTCTGAAGATGATCTTCTTTTTGAATGTGAAACACCGATGGTCTCTGTTGAGATAGGACATGGAAGCGTTCTCATTAGGCATCCTAGCTATATAGCTCCTGAAGAAGAGTCTGAGGCTAGCTCTCTTTCAGTTGATAATAAACAATGTCCAATGAGTGAGGCATATTCTTATTTTGGCGCCATTCTAATGCATAATGATTCTAGTCACATGAAGTCATCAACTGTGGAAGTTGAAAAGATCAAGAACTCTACCGTTAAAAGGTAGTTTATGGCATAATCTGTAGTCAGCTATTATTATTAATTAAGGCAACAAAAACAAAATTCATTCTGTTGTTACTCTATAAAGCACATTTTGTTTTTTCTACTAAAATAAAGCCTGTTGTTCCTGTAAGTTCGATATGCATTTTCTTTGTGCATGTGAATTGGTGAAGAAATATTTGAGGTATATGTGCAAAAATTGTTTTAAAGTGAAGACAAACATACTATGTCGACATTAATGTTTCTATTTTTTGAATGTCAGTGACAAGTCTCAACATGAAAGAGTACAAATCCTTGGCAATCATGAATCGCCACTGTGCTCAATAGATTTAAATGTGAGTTATATTTCCCTTCCCATTGGTTTATGGCCTAAATTGACAAAAAAGCTCTTATGCATGCTTGTAATAAAATTGGAAATGATTTTACATCAGTGATGGGCATCAATGTTTTGACACACTATTTTGATAATGTTTTTTTCGAATCAGGCTTTTAGATTCTTCATTTATATAATTACTCTTAGAGCTATCTGGATAACACTCTGATTCAAATGTTTTGAGAACAGTCAGATATTTCCATAAACAATTAGTTTTTAGTTCAGTATTCATACCCTGTTCTGTATAAATATTTATTAATAATGTTATTGGGTAAGGATGTAAGTCCTCAAATATGTATAATTGTTGAGTGCTTAACATAATTGCTACTATGTTTGATTAGGATGTTGTAAACTATGAAGAGTTTTTGAGAATCATGACAAATGAAGAGCAACAGCAATTACTGAAGTTACTTCCTGTGGTTGATACTGCTAAACATCCTGATAGGTTAGAACTCTCCTCTTTCATTTGCAGTTCATCATGTTTTTGTTGTAATCGACTGAAAAAACCTTTAAATTCCTATGTTATAATTCTGATATAAAAGTTTCAAATCTGTTTGGTGGGGGGCATATGTAGCATGTCTAAATACATCATTAGCCATTGCTTTTCTAATAACAATGAAGTAAACTATCCAGCTTTTGTTTCAATGTCATGGGCATTGCTTGAATATTTCAGATTTCTATATAAAAAAAGTAAAAGATGCTCTAAAGTTTATTAGATATATAATATGACTTTTACGGGAATAGAAAGTGTTGAGACGTGAGACTTAGACCATCAATATTGACAGCTTGTGTTGTTGTATGTGCAGCCTTAAATTCATGTTCAATAGCTCTCAATTCAAGGAGAACTTAACTTATTTTCAGCAGCTTCTTGCGGAAGGAGTCTTTGATATCTCTTTGTTGGGGGCAAAACCTGAAGACTGCAAGACTTTGAAAAGACTTGCATTATCCAATCTGTCAAAGTCAAAATGGGTAGAACACTATAATTTTCTCAAGGTGTGTAATAGTTTATTATTTCAAGTAACATTAGAGATAGTTTTTGTGTATGTTGATACTTATAAGATATTACATCTTTCTATGGGTGCAGAAATGTAAAAACAAAGTTGGAAAATCTACTGGTACAGCATCAACTAATGTTGTAAACAACAAGGCATCAACTAATGTTGTAAACATCAAGAGAACACGTGACAGCAGAAATCAAAACTTTCCAGGTTAGCTGAAAACCTGATTTTGAAGACAAAAAACTTGTCAAATGCTGAGACCTTCCAATTATTCTCTCCCTAATGCGACTATTATTGAGTATACCATGTACTGACCGGGCATGTTTGGATTGAGGGAAATGAAGGGGTTAAATTTGGATTCTCTCCATAGATTAGCTTAGTTTTTCACGATTGAATTTGTTTTCCTAGCTCTTGCATGCTTAAAATGCTTTGAATTAAAATTGTAAATTTTTTAATGATAAAACATAAACATGTGCACTTCATTACTACTTTAAATTTGATGTTCTTATAAATATTACCAAGAATAATGAAAATATACATACAAAACACTATTTTAATTATTGATTATGATCTGTAATTTTATTTGCTGCCACATTGAAAAATGTTAGCAGTATTTAATTTATGCTATCAAAGACCAACACTTGTATAAGAAATTAGTAGACAAGCACTATCAATGTATACGTTTTTATTCCGCCAATCAGTTAGAAATATCCTTATGATTTTTAAATAGTTATTATAAAGATCAACAAATTTACATATGATTTATGATCGAATGATAGCGTAAAAGACATTTACATGACATTTAAATTGTTGATTTTTTCTTTTCTTTTGAGAGGTGTATAGAAATTTGTGTTACTGCTGTAATGCTTTTACCTAGTTAGAACACCCCTGGTTATGACTTATGACTGCTGTTTAAATTTAACTGAGGAATGATTCTTAGCACTCATATTACAAATTTCAGAATTTAAGACAATAATGAGGAGCCCCAAAAGTGTGATCACAAAGGTTGGCTATGAGGGAAGAGAAGCTGTAGAGGATGGTGCTTGCTATAGTGCAAAAAGCCTTTTTGCTTTGCCTCCTGATGCCAATTCACTCATGCTCGATTCTTTAAACTTTGTTGATGAGAGTACTGATCAGGATCTGCTGCTAGAGGTGCCATCTAACACTTCGTTTCCACAGGCAGAGCTCTTGCACCCAACTTTAAGCCTTGGTGCTCAAGCCAGCACCAGTAGTAGTTCAGTCTACTCACATCTGGGTCACCATTAAGAGTATACTTGGATACAAGTTAAGAAGAACTTATAAGAGTTTTTCTACTTAAAAAAAAAAACAAGAAGTTATATTTTCAGTAAAGAAGTTCTTAAACTTTTTCAAGCATGTCTATCCAGACAGACTCTGGGTAGTTCTACCTGGGTATTTGGATGGTTAGCTATGGTACGTATTTTACATCTTAAACATGTGATGGTTGTGCTTTTGGTTACTTGCAACCTCCTTTAGCCTGGATTGCCAACTTTGGAAGTTGGGTGGGGCTTTTTTGTATAGGTTGGTGACAGATTGTAACATATGGCATGAAATGAGGAGGGATAATCTCCTGTGTAGTTTTTGTTTTGTAAATAATTTTGACACTTTTTTTTTACCCCCAACAACAAATAAAATGAAAGGACAACATTATGGGACGTGTATGGAGGATCTGGACAATCACACAATCTAAAGTTAACTTTCAAAGTGTTTGACACCCCATTCCCCGACATTCTAAAGGTGCATTTGATTTGATGCATTCCCATGTCGAATGCTGAATTGTCATGGACAAAGCAAAACATTGTACAGTGGGATGAAATCATGGGTCCAGAGAAGTATTTGGTAGTGGTAGTATGTCAGATGTCGGTTCTTGGAATTATCACAAAAATCTTTTTAAATGGTTTACGTAACTGTATGCAGTGCCACATTTAGGTGTGTTTGGATTCACAATAAATCGTTTAAAATCATATTAGTGCGTGTTTGGTTTCACGTTTGAAACGTGAAAAATCACATTTAACGTGGAAGCTACAATGTGTAGTTTCACGTTAAACGTGATTTTTCACGTTTCAAACGTGAAACCAAACATAGGCTTAGAATACTAGCAATGATTATTTAGATTAATATTGACATGTTTAGTCTCATATTTAGCATCTTGAGAATTTTTTTTTACCTCAAAGTTGCACTTGGAATAAAATTATTGAAAAATAAATTACTTTATTTTAAAATTAACTATAACTAAAATTTCATTTAACATCAATATTTTAAACATCGTTTCAAACATATCTAGTGATTGTAAAATCACTTCGAAATACAAGGAACTTACTTAATGTTTTTAAGTTTAATTTTTATTTATGTTAAAATATATATTTGATTAACGAAAGTCACTAAACACAAGTATTAATTAATCTTTAGTTGTTGATATATTCAGATTTATTATTAAATAAGAAATGTTAATTTAAAATTTAAGTGTAAACTATAATAAACTTTATGGTTTGTACTTGTAACAAATAAAATAGTTTAAGTAAATTTAAATTTAATATAACAAACAATCATTTATAAACTTATGAGTTAGATTCTAGTATTTTCCAAAATATGCTTAAAATATCATTTATTATTGTTGATTAGTCATATAATAATTTGAGGTTGAAATAATACAAATGGTTTTGATAATTTATTGATTAAATTTATTTAAAAGCTATATAACTTTGAAAATATGATAAGTAAGCCAATATAAAAACTATATAACATTAATTATTACTTATGTATAAATTAAATTAGAGTAAAATTTTAAATTTTGATCTTAAAATTACAATTTTGATACACTAATTCTCTCAATTTTTGTCACAAAAGTTTCTTAAAATCTATAATATTATCACAATTATTCTTATGAAAAATTAAAATGATGATTCAATTGTAGAATTTTGATAGCTAATACTCGCACCTTGCAAATGATTAATTTAACAATAAAAAACTTTAGAAAGATAATTTAATTACCTTAAAAGTCATATAAATAATAATATTTAATTGATTGATAGTGGAAAAATTTTATAATCATTGTGTATGCTAATTAAACTCGTAATAAAAATTAGTACGTTAGCTTGTGTGTTACACACGATAATTTTTTTGTATTTATTTATTTAAATTTCATAATAAATTAATTTTTAAAAAAAATATATGAATTATTCTATAATCAAAATTAATAATAAATAGATATCTTTAAATTAAAAATAGATATTTTTAAATATACAAATTATATTTTAGATTTACAATGGATAATATAAAAGATAAGATATAAGGCTCTTTTAATACTAACATAATTTTAAAAACGGTTGAAATTTAATTTACTTATAAAGATAAAAGATGATAAATGGAAATATGTTGACGATTAAAAGATAGTACATACATGTAGAGATGAAATAAATATTGGTTAAGATTACTGAGTGATTTTTTTTGGTTAATAATAATAGTGTGGAGTAGACTTTTTAAATGTGAAAAGACATCTAATTAAGAATATGTAGAGATTGAGTCTCAATATCTAATTAGAGGTGAAATAGGTTAGACTAAATTAGACTTGAAAAACTTAAACCTAATTCATAATTATAAAGGTTAAATTTGACTTGTTTAGTAATCTAGTTGTGACACGTTCTACCGCGTATACCGTAACAAATAAATAATAAAATCTGAATAACTTAATCCTTCATAATTAAATACCAAATATGTTTAGATAGAGAGCACCACAATCGTAACTTGAACAAAATAACATAAATAACATCCTAATCTAATCTTATTTATGTTTCGATGTCACATGTCCTATTAGAGCAAAATCTAACTCTGAAGCCTAAACTTATCATTAACATCTTTAGCCTCATGCTGATGATCACCTGCATAATAACAACAACAAAAAACCTAACATAAGCAACATATCACTCTGTCTCACGGTATAAGAATGCATACCGAATAGCCAAACACGAACAAAACATATATATATATAGCATGGACAAATTTATAACAATATCACACATCATTCACCCATGACATAAAAACTAATTAACATATAACATTAAAATGCACAAGTAATGGACATGGATTACATATTATCATGCATGTGGTACCAGTAAAACATCACATGATGCATTGTTGCTAGCAACACGCATAAAATAGTCTAGGAGTACATGCCGAATCACACTCTATGTTCCACTAGACGGACATACTACCAGGGTCTAGTTGGAATAATTAAGTTGTGTAAGATACATCCTATGCACACAATAAGTGAGACTAGGACAAGCTTTTACACAAGGGGGTCTTTCCTGGCGGTGTATTCCTGTCGTATCCTTAAAAATATTTATGCAAATGATGCATGTGAATCAAAATTCTATGCATTATCATTGTCATATCACATTATCATGTCTTATTATCGTATAACATTATCATATAATGTTATCATGTTTTCACCATATCAGTTTATCTCATATCATATAATCATCAATTATATTCATTAAAAAATTGAATAACACAAGAAATTCACATCACTACCGATCATACATATCATAAGAGAAAAGTAACATAAGATACACATTACACCAATAGAATTTATCAAACAAAGAAGGAAAGAAACAAGACAACTGACGCAATGTGAAACTTATGCTCAACATGGGTCACGCTCAGTATGGGTGATAGACAGCATTGCTAGCTCTTTGCCACCTTGATGCTCAGTGCTAGCAAAGGCGCTCAGCGTGGTTTCTATGGTCAAAAACTAAAATTTGCGATTTTCATTTTTTATCCCAATCATCATTCTATTCATACAATCAGTTAAAAGTATTCTAAATCATGCAATAAATATTGAAAACAATACAATTAACTCATACAATTACGTCTTCAAACAATTTTCTTATACAACTCTTAATGTATTCTTTTAGGGTTTCCCATAGGAATCCGTAGGAGCACCAAAATCTGCAATTACAAACTAAACACCAACACTAGTCATACATATATACTAATTACGTCAATTATAACATTGAAGGAGAAACAAAAAAAAGACACATTTAAAGAAAACTTCACACACATATACATATAACAAATCCCATATTTACCACTTCACTCATGTCTCTAACACAAACCACCAAACTACTTTATAATTCATCTATAACAATTATTTAAAAATTTAAATATTTCAAAATCATATTTTGCACTTTGAAAATCTTGTCCCAATTCAATCAAGATATAAATAATGAATTTTAATATATATTATTTTTGGAGTTTTTTTGGTAAGATTATTTTTAATTAAAGATTCTTTTAACTTCATATCTAATTTAATTTTTATTTATTATAATTCTTTATGAATTAAATTTTAATATTTTTAAAATAAATTGTTAGTAAATAAAACTAATTTTGTGTTATAATATAATTTTTAATTATAAATAAAAAAAATATAATTTCTATATTTAAAAAAAATATTTATTAAAATTTTAAATATAATTTATATATTTAAACATGATATT